ATGTTAAATGACACGTACGTGTTCAAAGGTCATAATATATTTATTATTCTTACCATGACGTGTTTATAGTTCCATGCTCGTACCATTGTCTCAAGAAGGGACGGACCAAAACAATATCCAGTGTCTTATATACGAAAGGCCGTGGTAAATATGTTATTCCAATATATACATAATATATCACATGACAGCGTTCAGTGTTTTCTTATTTATATAGCCATGTCGCTATAGTTTCATGATAACATGAACAGCATTCTGTTGCGTGTAATGAATACCGTACTTTGCCTAAAAATGGTCAAAGCCCGTCACTAATGTTCAAATAACTTATTTTTGTTACTTTTAACATTTTTGAAATAATTCTGGATGACATAGTCTAGATATGTTTATATACCAAGCATAAAATCAACATGCCACCATTTTTTTTAAATACAACTATCATTTTATCGAAAAATAGGTTTGTGACCTCAAATATCATTATCCCTTACGGAGTACAGATTATTTAAATTAGATACATTCAGCTGCAGGGGTTGAACTTCACAAAGGCATCGAGGGCAATTGCCTCAGTGTCCGAGGAGCATACCTAGTGTCGTTCAAAACAAAGTTTTTACGCAAACTATTCCTATACACGATAGTCAATTTTATCAAATTGTGCATTGAAAATGGGTACCCCCTCAAATCTATGTCTTATTTTAAGTCGTTGCATACAGTTTGTAAACTGAATAGTTTCTCTCTAAATTCATTTGGTGTTCGGTCGGGAAGGTTACCCTGCATGGGTAATGTGCGAGAAACACGTAAAAGTGTTAGTTTGTGCATAAGGGATTCCTTTACACCATAGTTACTCATATCTCTATGCAAATTATGTTTCAGCTACATTTGTATTACATGTATTTTTACAATTCTGGCCTATTTCACTGTTGTTCTTTTCATGTCGTTAAATGGGCTTATCAGTGATAAATTGCATGCTAAGATGTCTACCAAATAACCCTCGTACTGACAAATACAGTGGCACCTTCAGTTTGTCACATAATTTGGTCACGCAGGTTGTGGTATTCTGGATTTTATGCGTACAGGTGGAAATTTAGAGATGGTAATAAAGTCATGCAAACGTAGAACAAGCATGTTCATTGCAGGGGTCATGTCAAAAGTCAGCCCCCTTAGCCTGACATGGACTTCTGTGATAAAATCATCGACGATTTGAAAATCATTGGTTTAATTGTCCTATTCGTTTCAATCACAAAACTAAGATAATTGAAACGTTATACTCGTCCGCGTTACAAGATTTGTCGAAATATATTAATACAAAAAAGTATTAGGTAATAACATGTAAAAACAATACATTCAGTTGGATTGAAACACAAACAAAAATCATTAGAATATATGCTACTGTTAATGCTGCCTGTAATCCCAATGTTGTTCGTTATGACAACAATGTCAGGTGTAACTGGTCGTAATACTGGGTCTACATTATAATATTTATAAACACCTGCACCAAGAAAGAGATATAGGGTGCAGTACACGGGCATCATGTCAGTAGGATTGCACAAGAATAGATCAAACTGAGAAACATATGGGTTGTTAATGTTATTAGAAAGTGGTTCCATATAAGTACTTGTGGACATGGGGGGTCCGACCCAGTCATCACGTTCGAATACGTCGCATAGGAAATCCATATTGGACTCGTCGTAGTGCAACTACATGTGACAAATATATATTGTTGTTAATATCAATATAGAAATACTAGGTAATGTGCGCTTAATAAGTTATTTTACAAAAATTTCGTTACATGTACTTTTAAGCGTAGTTGCTTCGTTCAAAACAGGTATATTGTTTCTAATAAACCAGCCATAACACATTGACTAGGTAATTGTGCAAATCAGTATATTATGAAGGTATTCGCAGGCTGGATTGAAAGTTGCGTCTACAATATACTAAATTTCAAAATATATCGTAAATAATATAATACAAGTAAGTACTACTGTCCCATAGGAGTGGAAAGCACCAGCTGATGTGTTGTCACCATAATAACACAGACGTCCAGTAAAAGTTTCGCTGCCGAACAAATTAAGAGCCGACATAACTCGTGATATCATTTGACCCAGACCACTCGTTGTGTCTTCGTCCCCACTCACATCTTCACATCGATTGCCTGGATCGACATCCACATACGTACAGTCTTTGAGATGAGTC